TTGAAAGCATCACTCTGCCCCACCACCAAATCACTGCATTTATTCTCAAAGCCCTTTGCATTAAGCAAGAATTACGTTTTTCTAATGCTTTTAAAGTCAATTTATCTCTGGTCAGTTGCATGAGCGAAAGTCCCCTTGTTAGCCTTGTAAACTTCTCCCCCATTACCCGGGAGCCTTCTGGTGTGCTCAGGAAGTAGGGTTCCTCCTGGTGGGGGCTGTCTGAGCAGCTGTCCAGAGGTAAGGGGCTCTGGGTTGGAAAAGTGATCTTTCAGGAGGTAGAACTATGTCAAGATAAAAAGAAGTGAGGCTGGTCCTGCAGTGTGGAGTCTTGGAAACACGGAAAGTACTTCATACATGTATCATTTGGAGCAGGAGGCAGAGAAGGGTGGAAAGATGCCCAAGTAGGTGGCCAAGAGGAGTGGAACTCATCAGTGAAAAGGTTTAGTTCAAGGGCCCAGTCCATATGCTCTGAGCATCAGCCAGTATGACTCTTTTTTAATGTTTGAACCAGAGGGATCCATGAAGTGGGCCAACTGATGACACAAAGAATAAGTAGACCTCTTATCATTTCTTAATTAATGATCAAAACTATCTTTTGGTTCATCCGATGAGTATGGATTCTTCTTTATAGAAGTAATCTCTTATTTTGAAAGGTATGCGATCTTCAGAGATAACATCCAGAATCCGAACATGCTGTCAGCATCTGCTCTGGATGAAGGTATTAAAGATCAGCTCGTCTTTGGGCACTACTTCCCGATGCCTTAACTCACAAGAGGCTGAAGAATAAAGAGTGACTATTTACCGTAAGTAAGGGCTATCATGCTTTCCAGTCACTGAAATGTACATACTCTCTGTGTACTTACCTCTCTTCCAAGAACAGGTTCTTGGGAAGCTGAGCCTGTTATAAAACCATGGACTTGGCAAGGAAGGGGCCTGGAGAGAAAACTCCTCTCTTCCAGTGTCCAGATATGCTCGTGCCCCACTTCTGGTCCAGCCTCACCTCTTTCTCCAGATACTCTGACACCAGATGCTCTGGATGCCTTCACTTTCATTCATGACCTCAACTCCCAGACTGTACTTTAACGCCAGGCTTTCCAGCTGTGATCTAGAACTATCCTGACCTCTAGGGCAACTTCTGGGTAATTTCATCCAAGAGCATGGCTGTTATTACCAACAATAGCTGTACCAACAAGAATCAACCTTTACTGAGCACTTACCATGTGACAGCCATGTAACGAACCCTCACTGTCTTCATTAATTCACTGAATTCCCATAACAACCCTCTGAGGTTGGTACTGATAATCAGCCCCATTTCAGAGGAGGAAGCCGAGGATTTGGGTGGTAACTTGTCCAATACCACATAGTCATTAAAGGGTGAGGCCATTTAGGATTCCTTCACGGATTCTGAATCACATAGAAAATTACAAGGTTTGAGCCTAAGTCATTTTGACTCCACAGTCTGGGCTCAACCACTAAATACTCCCTCCAGAAGTGACCTTGACCCACCTCTCCAGAGCGTCTGGCTGTGGACTCCATACCGAACACAGCCAACGAATGAGAGTCATCGTGAGGGATTTCTTTGTTGAAATTTAAGCTTAACAATAATTAGTTTGGAGTGTAGTTATTAGAAAGCAAGCCACGATCTGGGGGAAATTACCTACAGAAAGAGACAGGGAAAAGTCTGAGAACGTATGAGAGTCAAGCAGTCCATGCTGTGTGGCTCCTGGTGTAACATTTTGAAAACACACATATTATGTGGTGAGCTCAGGTGAAATGCTGAAGAAGACACAGTGTCACACCTCAGACCCTGCCCAAATGGGACGACAGCCAAGAAGTACCTGCACCCCAGATGGGACACCCTACCAAAGGCCACAGAGAAGCCTGGATCCCCGAGAGACTGTTAATTATTTCTCATGTTGTAGGGGTTTCCTAATGAATAAACCAAAAAATAAGTGTCTTTGTAATTTTCTTTGTGATTCAGAACCAGTGGAATAAGACTTTGGTGTTTATTTCAGGAGGACATACCACAAATACCTAGTGTCCCAAATAGCTTTTCAGAGGAAAGAATATTGAACAGTAGTTCAGGCCTCTTTCACTGATCTAACCTTCTCGTTCGATTCTGAAAACCTTTTTTTAAAGATTTTATTTGAAAGAGAGAGAGAGAGAGAGCATGTGCATGCACAAGTTGGGCAGGGGGAGAGAGCGGATAGAGAAGCAGGCTCTCCACTGAGCAAGGAGCCTGTTGTGGGGCTCAAGCCCAGGACCCTGAGATCATGACCTGAGCCGAAGGCAGATGCTTAACCAGCTGGGCCACCCAGGTGCCCCCAAAACATTTCTTAAACAAACTTAGATGTGAGCAGAAAACTGCCAGAGTTGATGTGGATAAAGAAGAAAATGGGAAAAAAATAAAAATCACAGATAATCCCCAAAGCTCATTTCAACCATTAGCATTTTCCTCTTTTAGATATCTTATGGTTAATAATACAGATAGGCTAATACAGATGGATGGATGGAAGAGCTAATGAGTTGTCAATGATTACTTTATTGAGCATTGCAAGGTGCACAGCATTGTACATAGCCTGAAAATGTCAAGGTGACTTTTGTCACACCCTCTGTTAAGGTTTCCCTCATTTCCATGGTCTTGCGGGCTTTCTTCCTGTGCTCCAGGGAGCACGTGCTGGAACTGATTCTGCAGCACTCCCTACACCGTGTTTCAGCGGTCAACGGCACCATGGGTCCGCTCCACTAGGTTTCTGGACTCCTCCAAGAGAGGGTCCATGTATTGCTGGTCTCTGCAACCTTCATGTTCAAATCAAGGTTTTGAATCTTGGACGGGATCCATGTTTGACATATGAATGACCGATGGAATGGTGAGTGCTTCATTCTAGGTCCTTCTCCCAACTCCCTAGTCTGCATGTAGGTGGAAATGCTGATGGGGAGTGAGAAGCCAACATTCAAAAGGCACAATGGAAAAGAGGGGGGAGGGGCAAAGGCGTGGCTCATCCACAGACTAGAAATTAGCTCCGTAATAATGAAGAGTTGACTTCCCCAGGGCCCGAAAACGTAACAGAGCGACAGAAAAATCTTCCAAGCTAAAGACAGGGGTCATCAATCCAAATTCTCACCTCAAAGCTCAAAGCAGCTTGGGAGGACCATCCAGCCACCTGCTGGTGTCAGTGTCCGTAAATCAGGCTCAGCTACCTCACCCTAAGGGTTTATTTTGCCTTATTATCCGTTCCCAGATTTCACAAAAGGCCACACAAAAATAAATAAGACACTAAACAACTAGAAGTGAAAAGAAGGCATTTCCAAATGGCTCTCAAGAGGCGGTTTGGATGCCCTGTTCCTTGCCTGGTGCCAAGGGGTTCAAGCTTCCATAGATGCACTCTCTGGCCTATCAGCACGCACACACATACTGTGAGGGAACAAACATTCTTCGGGGGGGCAGGAAGCATGGTGCTGTGCATGGACGGCTAACGGTTTCATCCCATAGGCTCAATCCATCCGATTGATGAGCCAGGGCCTGGGCTCTGTTGGTTGGATGATGGAAAAAACCCAGGGAGGCAGCTGAGTACTGACACACACACCACCATATCTGACATCCCAGGTGTGATGGGACATGTGTGAAAGACATTAGCTCCTGATCTGCCACGAGCCAGCAAAGAAACTAAAGACAGGCCTGGTGCCTCCCTGTGCCTCAGTTTCTTTATCAGTTGAAGATTTGGCCAGACCATCTATCTGGCAGCTGCAAAGATTCCCTTCCTTTCATCCAGCAGGATTCTTGACCCATCAGTACCAAGGCAAACCCTCACCCTTCCATGTACCTCCACGCAGCTGAAATGAAGGGAGGCCCACTACAGAGTCTCACACTCACAAACAGAAGTGTTGCTAAAATGCTGCTTAAGATTCTTGGATAAGTCTAGTGCATATCCCCTACCATGGACCAGTCTGGTGTTCATAATCCCCAACACTATCTCACCAATTGATCTACTTTAGGGGTGATTCAATTATTTTTCTCCAAAATGGAACTCACTACACTCACATTTCTGGTCTACCTACCTACTGGAAGTATTGTTTCTCTCCATTATCCCCTCCTTGTTGCCTTCTGGATCCCAGGTGTTTACAACTAACTTTCAGATGAATGGTACTCTACACCCCAATGTCAGTATTTTACATTTGGCCCATGGCCCATTTCTACCTCATGGCAACTCTTTAAAATGTTCAGAAAAATCCAGATGATTCCATCTCAGCTGTGGAAGGCAGAGCAGTTTGGAAGACAGCTGCTTTCTCCTTTAGGGCAAGATTTAAAATGATAAGTGCTTGATCAGATTAGCTCCCAAATCAAAATTGCATTTCTAGCCTCAAACACACTATAAAATGAATTTCCTAAGACATGGTGATTCTTAATCAAGTTTATGCTTATATAAACTTATATAAGGATATGGTTTTGTTTTTTTTTTTTTCCTAGAAGAGTTGTTTTCTTCTTCTGTGGCTCTTCTGTACACATTTGTACCAAAACAATCATTTAAGGATAGAGGTCAGAGTATTTTACTATAATGAGTACTCGTCTGATGCATAACAAAGACTGACCTAGAATGCTGGAGAGTACAAATTTTCCTATTGGCTAACATATCAGTCTTTGAGCTCATTCTTGTCAGCCAGAGACTTAATCTACGTCATACAAATTTTCCTATTGGCTAACATATCAGTCTTTGAGCTCATTCGAGACTTAATCTACGTCAAGTTAATCCAGGCTTAGCTAAGGATTCTCAGACCTACACCACCTACTCAGAGCAGGGTTCTGACCCTTGTACTCTCCTCTTTATGCCCAAGAGGACCGTGCTACACTGTTCAAAGGGCAAACAATTTTTGCCCTTGCATTCAAACTTTGTTATGCCACATTTAACACAAAATGCTTATCATTACCTAAAAGAAAAATGCAGCAAAACTCATCTTGGGAGGGGAAAAAAAAAAAAAACTAAACACACACGCACGCACACACACACACATACAAACAAAAACAAAAAACACAAAAACTTACAGGTCCTTCAAAGCCATGGAAAGCTCAGGGATATTAGCAAATCTTTATCCCTAAGAAAGTTATTTCAACAAGAAAGCATGTCTGCACTTCACCAAGGTCAGCTGAGTTGGAGAGAAAGAGAAGCGAATGAAAACAAATCGACCAGCAGCATTATATAAGTTGTGCCTTACACCTCATAAGAGAAACAAGATTCCCATCCCACTCTCTCAGAAACTCTTTGGGTTAAAGTTGTCTCCTTCCTAATTCTTCCCTTCTCTGTAATTCCTAGTTATCACAAATGAACACCAGAGTATCTCAAGCGGTCCATCTAGCAGCAGAGTGAAGGAAGATTCCAATGGTTTGGAAGTTTGCCCATATCCCACAGATGATCTACCTACCCATAATCCCATTCTCAACATCTCTCTTTGGTCAAGTCTAAATTATACCATCTTCCTTTGCAAAACATGCAAATACCCCTACCACAGGCCAAGATATAAAGTAATTGACAGCAAAACAGAAACCCATTGTAAAGACAAAATATTCCAGCTTTCTCTATTAAAAAAAAAAAAAAATCAAATTCAATGTAACTGGACCCTGCTAGTGTTTTTGAGTTCTATAACTCCCCTGAATTGTCAAAAGTAACCCGGTAGCCAATCCTCTTGCAGATACTAAAAATAACCTGAAACAGGCTCCCCACAGTGCCAAAAGCAGCGTCAAAGAGCAGAGAGAGGGTGCCGCCCAGGCCCATGGCGATGTCCTTGCACACAAGTGGAACCGCGCCTATGGTGTGCATGGGGAAAGTGGCCACGTCCACGAGGACTCGGACCGGAATGCCCAGAACGCGGCAAACAGCCTTCAGCAGACAACAAAGGATCCGGAGAATGGCCCTGATGATTTTGACCATGACTTTGAGTACCTTCCAGGGAATGCTGGCCAACTCTTCCCCGATGGCCAAGAAGTAGGAGATGGTGGCTGAACCCAAGCGGTAAAGGCAACTTTCTATGCCGTTACACACTTGCTTGGTAACAAACCACAGGACATACATAATGTTCTTCAGGACGCCCACGGCAACGTAATAAAGTAGTTGGAAAAGCTTGGTGACGGGGGTGGCGAGGAGGCCCATCAGCTTGCCCAGAAGGCCCCTCCCCTCCTCAGCCGGCTCCGGAGGCAGCAGCGCGGAGCCCTGGCTCTGGGGGCCGGAGAGAGAACGAGCGTCCTCTTTGGTCTGCACGGTTCGCTCTTCATCCTGGACTTGGTTAACCACTTCCAGGATTTTTTTCATTCTCTCCGTGTCCTGTTGGGCCTCGCCGCAGTTGTCCTGGAACAGCCTGGGGCTGGACGGAAGCAGTTTCTCGAGCTCGGGCACCATCACGTCCTCTATGATGTCACCGTCGCGCGCGTGCTGGACGAAGCCCATAGCCCAGCCGGCCCCGGGCGCGGCGCAGCAGGCGGCCAGCCAGACAAACGCGGGGATGGCCACTCTGTCCTTGACCTTGCGGCGGGAGGGCACGGCGCCAGCGAGGATATACAGGTCCGCCCCGCCGCCGCACTGCGGGGTCAGGGCCCGCTCCATCAGGCTGCGCAGATCCCGGTACCACCGCTCGCGGAAGGACGGGGCCATCGGAGCTGCGTTTGTGAGCGCGAACGTAGCCACTTGGAAATCATCGCTAAGGGAGACCGGGTACACCTGTCCTCTTTGGTCATCGGAGTCCAAGTAATCTGTGCTGAGGGCTTGCTGGCTTCCCAGGCTGTTCACAGAGGTGACGGCATCAGCCTCATCACTCGCCTCCTCGAGGTGGCTGGTGGGGTCGTCGATCTGAAAGAAGAGAGCAAGGGTTGAGACGCATCCTGTTCCCTGGAGAGAGGGTGCCCCTGGATCGCCTGCACTTGAAGCCGGGGCTCTGGAGAAGTCCCTAGGGCACCAGCCCTCCCAGCGCCCCGGTGGGGAAGGGCTTGTTTCTCTGGTGCACACACACTCCTTCCTAGTATCCCAGGACCCTGGTGTTTGGGAGCCCCTGCAGAAGAGGCTGTTTCCTGTTTTACTCCCTATGTACACTCGGCCCTTTCTCTGTGGTAAGACACTCTCTCTCTCTCACGCACACACACAGATTGGGTATTATGAAGCCCCTCTACTATATCATTTATTAAACATTAAATCCCAGGGTCTTAGAACAGTCTGCTCACTGACCTCCACTGACAGACATGCCCATTGCGAATCCTGCTTCTTGTATTAAAACCGGTTTTTTAACCTATGACAAAACTTTCTTGGGGGCGCCTGGGTGGCTCAGTGGGTTAAGCCTCTGCCTTCGGCTCAGGTCATGATCTCAGGGTCCTGGGATCAAGCCCCACGTCGGGCTCTCTCCTCAGCGGGAAGCCTGCTTCCCTTCCTCTCTCTCTGCGAAATAAATAATCTTTAAAAAAAAAAAAAACAAAACAAAAACTTTCTTCTGCTCCCAGGCTCACTAGTATTTGAATGTCACTCATTAAAGAACCATCTGAATCACTAAATAAAATCAGAATAACAGCTCCCCTTCATCACTGGCCTTAACTCTACAGAACAGCCCCATAAGTCTCGGTAGGCTTCCCTTTCTGAAGGAATGTCAGTGTGTATGTAACTAAAATACCAAACTCACCTATGGGAAACTGGACTAAATATAGAGTATTTGATTTGGAGAGTCTACTATATTCTTTGAGACACGGTCGTGTAAAAGGCAGTGTATTTTTCCATGCTCTCTGCAGACACAGTTTAATGATCTGGCTATTGCCATTACGGTAAATTACTGACAACACTGCTCCCTGAAGACAAAAATACGCCTGTGATGTAAGAGGTAATTTCAGATCACATTTCTGGGTTACACTTGCCCTTCGGCAAGCACCACTAATCTTGCTCTTTGGTTTCCCAGCGGAACCTCTGGACCGAGGGACGGGTACAAAGTTCACTCTGTGTGCTCTACCTCCCTGTGGACCTGGTCCCCCTGGGCTGCCCACGTCATTTGATACAGTTCCTGCGTTTAATGGACATTTTCTTCCCTAATCACAACATGCTAAGTAGGTTTTAGAAAAATGAACTCTTCCCCCTCCACCAGCATCCTGCTCCATAAATAATCTTATAATAAATTCCTTTTCGAATTTAGTATCAAGAAAAAAAATGGTTTCTATGAGTCGGTCTCTGTACCAGATAGTAAAAGCTCTTGAAACCCATGAGGTTTCTTTCTGTTTGGGAATTAAGTGAAAGGAGACTTTCAGAGTTCCTGCCAACATGCATGTAAGAAAAAGAAACTAACTGGGTGCCTGGGTGGCTCAGTGGGTTAAGCCTCTGCCTTCAGCTCCGGTCATGATCTCAGGGTCCTGGGACTGAGTCCCGCATCGGGGGGGGGTTCTGCTCAGCAGGGAGCCTGCATCCCCCACACCCCCACCCCCGCCTGTCTCTCTGCCTACTTGTGATCGCTCTCCCTGCCAAATGAATAAATAAAATCTTAAAAAAAAAAAAAAACTAATTTAGAGAATTGCAAAGGAGGGGCACCTGGGTGGCTCAGTCGGTTAAGCGTCTGCCTTTGGTTCAGGTCATGATCCAAGGAGTCCTGAGATGTTGTCCCACATCGGGCTCCCTGCTCAGTGGGGAGTCTGCTTCTCCCTCTCTCCCTCACCCACCCTGCACGTGCTTGCTCTCTCAAATAAATAAAATCATAAAAAAAAAAAAAATCGCAAAGGAGGACTAGAAGGGAACTACCCATCTATTCAACAATATTTATTGAGCATATATTACATGTGACCAGGATGTCACTTCCTTCCCTAGGGAAGGAAGCAGTAGCATGGGTAACCCCCACACCCCATACCCCCGTCAATACTTCTTAAGAACTATACGCCAGGCCTTCTTCTGAAAACTTCACATGTATTAAAACAGCAAGTGGCTATGCTAAGTCTTCACTCATTTAAACTTACCAAAAAACTAGGTACTATGGCACTGCTATCACCTTTGGATAAATGAAGACACTGAGGCACATCAAGCGTGAGCAGCCTAGTCTAGGTCACACAGTGAGGGATGGCAACACCACGCAAACATGCCAAGCCCAGCCCCACAGCTGGTGACCTTAATCACTGCTTTATGTGCCTCCAACTAGACCTTCATAACATAAAGAAATGCACCATCTCTTTGGGGAAACAAGACATAGATACAAAGTTAAACAGGAAACCAAGATAACGGTGCCTGCAGATTACCCTAAATGCTGCAGAAGAGAGATAAAGAAAAAGAGCTAACGAATTCCAAAGGAAGGAAGGGCACCATGAATGCAGTCAAGGATGACTTCTTACTTCTTAGAGAAGACAGAAGCTGAGGCAGGATTCGAAGGATACACAAGACTCCCATAAATGTAGAGACACACAAAGGTCAGTGAGGCTTAACAAGACTTCTAGACCAAGGCATGGGGGCAGAGACCAGCGGCCTGTGAAAATAGGATTCTTTCTCTCTCTTTTTTTAAAGATTTATTATTTTGGAGGGGGGGTGAGGAGCAGAGAGAGAGAGAGAGAAAGATTCTCCATCAGACTCCCTGCTGAACACGGGGCCTGAAACGGGGCTTGATCTCACGACCCTGAGATCACAACCCGAGCTAAAGTCAAGAGTCGGACATTCAACTGACTGAGCCAGCCAGGTGCCCCCCAAAATAGGATTCTAAGTAAGGACAAGTGAAAGGCTGAATTGGAAAGGATGGTAGGAAGCAGAGTATAAATGATCTGATACACAGAAAACTCACCATAGGAAAATTATCTCGACCAGGGAGTGCCCACTGTGCACCAGGCACCGCGGAAAAGGCTCTACACAGAGCATCTTTTTAATCCTAACAGGATCCCCATCGCCTCAGATATGGCAAGAACTGTAAAGCAAGTTTGCAAATAATTACAATTTGGAAAGCACTGCCATGGGGGCATTTAATCTTTACATAATCCAAGGGGCGAGGCACTATCTCCATTCGACACACAGGAAAGTGCAAACTCAGAGAAGTGATAGGGACAAGGTCACCCAATATGTAAGTGGCAGGCTGAGGTTTATAGCCAGCTTCTCAGACTCCAAAGCCCCAGCCCCAGGCCAGCAGCAGCCCACGCCCCTGGGCGAGGAAGGGAGCATGAGAGCCACACGTCGGCCGTGCTGGAGGACAGGCAGGGGACAAAAGACACATGGGAAACACAGACAGGGCTGCAGGAGAATCAAGTATCTTGGGTCACATCAGAAGTCAGGGGAGGAGAAAGCTTTGGCTAGAGAAGGTCAATAGTGTGGCCCCCACCACAGAGAGCAAAGGGAAGGATGGAGACAATGAGCAAAGTCTTTGATGATTGAGAATCCTTAGTGAGACTTCAAAGGGCGATTTCCACTGAGGGCTCAGGAAGGAAGGCAGACTGTGAAAGTGACCGGATATGGGCAAGCGTGGACTGCAGACATGGGCGGCTTGTTGGAGAAGTCTTAGGTAAAGGCAGAAAATGAGCAGGCCCTCAGACAAGAAGCAGGGCTCCCGGGAATCAGCAAAGATGGTCTTCCAGCCCCCACAGACAACCCAGGGACAGGGGCACCGGGAGTGGGGGTGCTGCGAGGTCTCCATGTGTGCAAGGAGCATTTAGGGGCTCGGAGGCATCTCAGGGGAATAGCACCACCGCACCGAACGAGTCCCTGAGGGCTTCTGGGCTAAGAAATCCATGCAAGCCTCAGGGACCTGAGTCAGCTGGTGCAGATTTGCCACAGTGGAGTTTGTCTCCGAGTGTGGTGGGAGGAGCTATTTGTGAACAGTGATAATGATCTGCAGAACACAAACCTAAAGCTTCAGTAGTCAGCAGCAGTGAGTGCCGCTGCTTTCCCTTCTTTCCTCATTCCTCTTGCTCTCTTCTCAACTCCCCTGGGAATTCACAAGCACCTTTTCTGAAGCAGTTCAGAGGCCTGGCAGGTACAGGGGCGCCCCCTTAACTGCCTTCCTGGTATCAAGACAGCACAAGGATTTTGACGGGACAGATGACCCAACGGGGCCAGAAGACCAGAGAGTCCCAGCCAAGACCCCCAAGACCAGTCAGGGGACTGTGCCAAGGGGTGAGAGAGTGGTAGCAGAGGGAGAGGGGGTGTGTGCCCTGAGAGAGTGCAGAGGCATACACTGTTCCAGAACACAGAGCTGCACAGAAGCTTTGCAGAGGGCTGGGATGACCAGATGAGGAGGATGGGAATGTGGGAGACGCTTACAACTAGTCACATAGTTTAGTTTTAAAAAGAGCCCCCACACAACGGATCCAGCAGAAAGAGATATCGGGGGTGGGGGGACTGTGCATGTGGAGATCGGGCTCCTGTGCATTTGCTTCTTACATTTTTACAGACTGCAAGTTCCACAGACATCAGGATCATCTCTCATACTTTCGTCTGCCTAAAACATCATGAAGATTCTGGGTATGGTAGCTTCTAGGTAGGTGGTGACTGATTAGTATGCTGGTGATGACGACAGCACTGATGGCATGGGGGCAGTGAGGGGGAGGACAGCAGAGGGAATGCTTCTGGGAGCACATGAAGAAGCCTCAGGCCAGGATCCAGGATGACCTCTGCTGAGAGCACAGGGGGAGGAGGAAAGGGTGTGTTGGGAGCTGGGACTGGGGAGTTCTCTGCCCTAAGTGGGGACATGCAGGCAGAGCCCAGGGAAGGTCTGCAAGCCTCTGGGGGTCACTGTGCCAGGGAATTCAAGAGAGAGGCAAGGAAAGATGCTGGAAGGAAAGGGAGGCCCAGGACTGATGGGCCAGGCCAGCTCTGCGTAGGCCAGGACTGCCATTTTTGTACTTGTCCTACCCACAGAC